TTTCTTCTTAGGAATTAATAGTGAAAGAAAATGTCTCAGTTATAAAATATATGTTCACCATAGGAAAAATTTAAATACATAAGAGAACAAACAGGTTATTAAAAAAAGACACCTGATCCTGTCCATTAATGTTTCGATGTATAGCTCTTCAGTCTCTTCATTTGTATGTTTTTACCAATTGGGATCACATTCTATTACTGCACGTTGAATGTCTAAATTAATTCCAGTTCTTCACTGTCTTAGTCAGCTTGGGCTGCTATAATAAATTACCAAAGACTAGATGGCTTAAACAACAAATATTTGTTATTCTTCACAGTTGTGGAGGTTGGGACATCCAAGATCAAAATGTCCGCAGATAGAGTGTCTGGTGAGAGCCTGCTCTATTCTCACAAGGGGCGCATCCTCATGACCTAATCACCTCCCAGAGGCCTCACCTCCAAATACCATTGGAGGTGGATTAGGGCTTCAACATTTGAATTTTGGAAAGACAAACGTTTAGTCCATAGCACATCGTTACAAATAAGATTTCAAGGAAATAATTTTGCATACATTTTTGTACCTCTATAAAGTACCTAGAGCTACTCTTGACACACATGGGCAAATTAATACAAAATTTCTCATTGGCAATGAGAAATACAGAGAAATATAGCTGCTAGGAAGATGGTGCATTTTTATCTGCAAAACTAGTACATTCTCTTCTTATAATCAAATAATCAAGTAAAATGTAAGTGTGTATTCACAGAGGTCGCTTTCTTTCCTCAACAGTTCACTGGAAACACTCTATTTCCAGTTGTGGTACCACATAATTAATTTACTATACAAGATTATCCTTTCTAAACACAATTTCCAGATCACCTTGATTGGAATTGTGGGTGTTCCTAACTGCAGGGATTTAGGTCACATATTTATAATATCTTGGTTTATTTCCTTAGGTAGCTGTTGATGTTCATTTTATGTAGGTGTGACTTACTTAACTCTAGGAGTAACTGGGTCACCTCTTCCTCGCCATATTCTTCAATGGACCCTGTTGGTTGGGTATTTTGTCAAGAGAGGATTAAAAGGTTTCATTCTATTTATTAAAATGCTTACGGAATAAAAATTTAAAGGCTATGGATGTCTGCTGAAAATATTATTTGCCTGACAGATATTTATTGAATACTAAATGGGAAAAAAATGAGTTGACTGGGGAACATTTGTTGCAACATTTGTTGCTTTCCACAGCACTCTTATACCATTTGGGAAATAATCCTTTCAAGTAAATGGTCCTAGTAGAGGCTGCCTTCTTGGCCATAGGGTTGGGCATACCATCCAAGTCAATCAGAATCCTTCCACAAGATTTTTCAGTACTTAGTTGGGCAAGTGGGTGGTGCTTAGAAGGTAGAAGGCAGTTCCTCTCAGGGCAATGAACTATGAGGATACACTACACTATCCTAGACAACGCTCCAGACAACTCCCAAATCTGTATCTCTGACTTGAATCTCTCCTTTATCCTCTAGAATTTTTATAGACCTCTCCATCTGAATGCCTTATCAACCAATGACCCAGACAGAATTCTTCACACACCCCCCCCAATGCACTCACCTCCTGCCCAAACTGATCATCCAACATTGCTGTCAGTGTCCAGCCATCCAAGCCAGAAATATGGAAGGCATCCTCAACATCTCCCTCTCTCTCACCCCAAACACAATCAGTCACTAAACCCCGTCAATCCTACTTTATAAATACTTGCACATTTATTCTCTTCTATTTCCATTGCTGTGGTCTTGGTACAGTTCTTCATCACAAGCTTTTAACTGGTCTGCTTGCCGCCAGTCTTAAAAACCTTCAATCTGTTCCATCCTGTCCCCATGCCCACCCTCACCCCAGGCAGAATGAGCTTTCTCCTTCAGCACTTTCGGGACATTGCTGCTCCCTCTGCAGCCTCTTCTCTGAACACTCTCTTGCCTCCAGCCACACTGAACAGTCTGCGGTTGCCTGAACGGTGTTCTCTCCCTGCTCTAGGCTGTTCACTTTGCTTAAAATACCTTTAAATACGTTTTCCTTCCCCCCCCCCCCCATGGCTAACTCCTGTTCATGGTTAAAGGTGGGAATTGGGTAGGGCTGTTCCACACATCCTGGGTGACAGTTTTCACCTGTGTCTGCCTGGTTGCGATCCTCTGGACACACTCTCACAGCACTGTGGTCTATACTAGCAGAGAACTCGCTACCCTATGCTGTGAAAACACGTCTAATTGTCTTTTTTCCTTAATAAGCTGCAAATTCTTTGAGGAAAGAGATTGGGTTTTGTTCAAATTTGTATTCCATCCCCTGGTTTGGAGTCTGACACATAGTAGACCCTTAATAAATAGCTATTGAAGAATAAATAAATGAAGGAGTGAACCCAGGGAAGATGTGCCATTAACTTTAGTCCTTTGATTCTGTGAACCCATTCTCTTCCTGACCAACGATGATTCTATGAAGCACTGCTAGATCGGGTCTTGTATGAACACAGTATCCTCATGAAAATTTCTTTTGCTATAAAAGCTGAGAAATAGAGGTCTTCGTGTTTACAGATGAAGAAACTAAGGCACAGAGAGGTTAAACGACACTCAGGGGCACACAGCAGGGCCAAGCTGGGTTAGCAGTCTGGGCTCCTCTGTCACGACTCTTGTTTTTTTCCAACTACTAAGTTGCTTCCCTCAGGCACCTGTAATTGCAAATACTTTTGATCTTGTTTCTTTGAGAACTGTGTTGAGAGCTTCTAGCCTCAGGAAATGAACATTCCCACCTACAGACAACTCCCAATAGCTACTTAACTCCTTTCTGAAACGAATTTACTCCATATTTCAGACAAGAGAATTAAACAGAGCACCTTCCAAGTCAGCTGCCCCTGGCCTCCACACACTTCAAAAATTGCAGGGAGGGAAAGTCACCTTCTCATTTGGCTGGGAGCATGAACACGGTCTCTGGGATAGGATCCATTTGGTTGGGGAATGGGCCTCCCTGGTAGGTTTTTATAAAAACGATTCACAGGTTAGTCATGGAACTAAAGCATTTGGTGCTGGAGGTGGTGGGGTGGGTGTTCAGAAAATAAAATGCAAAGATGAGAGTTGTTTCCATGATCATTTTTCATAATAGTTTAGGCTTCTTTTCAACCAAACCTGGTGTGAGTGCTTGCTTCTATTTCCTTTTCTCCCCTAGTCACTCTGTACCTGCCCCCATTTGCTAAAATGATTTCCCCTGATTTGTCTTCAGTTTGTCTGATTTCTGTACTTATTGCATGGCATTTAAACATGTTTAGCACATCAGCTTGACTGAGGTGTCCTTTACTTATAGAACATAACCCAGTTTAAAAATATTTGATTTATATGAATTGTTGAATTCAAAATACTGTTGGGTATTTTACATTAATTTTATTTTATTTTTTAAAAAATTTTTAATGTTTATTTACTTTTGAGAGAGATAGAGAATGCGTGCGAGCATCAGTGGGGGAGGGGCAGAGAGAGAGAGAGAGGAGACACAGAATCCAAAGCAGGCTCCAGGCTCTAAGCTGTCAGCACAGAGCCCGATGCAGGGCTGGAACTCACAAACTATGAGATCAGGACCTGAACGGAAGTCAGATGCTCAACCAGCTGAGCCACCCAGATGCCCCTACGTTAATTTTAAAAAGAGGATGTTTTATATATGGCTAATCTGTTTGTCAAATGATTGCCTTTTACTATTCCTCAGAAGTTTTCATATTTCTTGTGGTCTTTAACGTTGTTTAGTCACTCAAAGAATAACATAGAAAAAAAAGCTGTAAACCTGAACCCTAAGGGACAAATTGATGATGAAAGGTTGACATCTCACCAAGGCTTCTCAAGGGTCCACTTTGAACCATAGACTGCACACAGTGTGTGTGTGTGTGTGTGTGTGTGTGTGTGTGTAAACACATACTGTGTGTACATATGTATTTGTATACATGTGTGATATATACATGTATATTTGTACATAATATGTGCTGTGTGTACATATGTATATATACGCATGTGTATATACATACTGTATGTGTGTGTATATATATATATATATATGCTATATGTGTGTACATATGTATTTGTATAAAGATGTATTAAGTATAGCCACCATGCATGCTTGTTGAAGTATTATTAGAACAAGGCACCCTATGAAATATTCTCTACTAAGGACAGGAATAATTTTGAGCACTGTGGGGGAAATTCTAAGGAAGCCTAATTAAAATCACTGCATGAACAGATATTGCTTTTATATTGCTTTCTCATATCAAGTATTTATCACAGAATTTGAGCTTTCTTTAAAAAAAAGGCACTCTAAATGTTTACTAATAAAACCTTCAGAATCAATTTCCTTCTGAACTGTAGTTGAGAAATAATAAAAATTTTAGGTGATATACCTAAGGTTTATGATTACACAATAGAGAAGAAGTGATTCTGAGACTGATGATGCCTCCATCTGCCAGGTGGAGGTCTGAGCATCCTCTCAGCTTCCTTCCCGTGCCCCCCCCCCCCCTCCAAGAACGCCTGTCCAGGCAGCCTCAGGCTTCCGGTAGGGGTTGCTGTTGTCTAATACAAGGCCTATTGTTCTCAGTACAATTTGGTTATCCCTTCAGATCATTTCTCACCTTTGCCCTTTCCCAGGATTTAATCTATTTAAATTGATATGGGTTATTTGCTCTTGAGTTTAATGTGAATTTAATCTTATGTTACTGTCTAATACATGAAAGTGCTATTTTGGTTGCTGATTAGCATTAATTTTCCCCAGAATGTGTTCTGAATATCAGTGAGCTTGTTCAGGAGAATGAATGATAATTTTGTTTTAAAAGCAGTGAAATATTTGATTACTTTCTAAAAATGCATGGAACTGAATTTTGAAGCGATCAGTTCTGGAATCAAATGAAGCCTTTAAGAGGAATTGAAATACTGGCCTTAAGAGACAAAGTTCTTTCTTAAAATTTTTATTTTTCTGCTGTAGAGATGCATTATATTTGCATTTTTGAGCCTGAGTAATTTTAATTCCATTTTTATTGTACAAACCCAAGAGGAACATTTACTTTGTTTTCATTGATTGGTTATACAATTATTCTTTTCAGATACTACAAGAACCATGAACCATAATATTATATTCCTTGCTAATACATTTTGGCAAAAGTATTTACTTGAAAACACAATACATAAATGTAATGACTTTCTCAAATGAGTACATTGTTGCCATGAAGCAATCACCTTTATTTTAATGCAAGTAAAATTCATTAAAATTTTCTCAATTAGCAAAGCGACTTTTCCAAATGAACTAGTGAAGGAAAAACACTGTCTGTTTTATCCTAACCCAGCTGATTGGCCTTTTATTACCAGATGCCTATTTAAGGAGGAGAAAAAAAAGAGTAGTTTTTAATTTTAATACACTTGATGCAATGCTGACTTCCAGGAGATTAGGTATGCTTCTGATACACTTAGTTTCTTTTTGGTTAGTTTCAAAGTAAAAGTTAGATGCAAAAGCAAAAGCCTTTCAAGCAATGATTCTACCTTCAAGACTCTCTCGTGTTGAAAGAAGGAACTTGAAGGCCCAAATGAACAAATCCTTTGAATTACAAAACTTAATTTAAACAAAAGAATGTTGTATTTGTCTCCTTTCACTAAAATGTTTAAATCCCTCCATAAACCCAATAACCAGATTAAGTCATTTGACACACACAGTTGAGTTGAGCCTTATATCTGTAAGTGCAAATGTAGCTTTTTGGAAAAAGAATACAATTAACTTTGAATTCACATTTATATAGTATAGATTTCAGATTAATTGAACTGCCTCTTTCTAAAGTAATTTTTTAATTCTAGTGTTGGTTATTCATTTTATGTATAGAGTGAAAACATCTTTTTCTTTTCTTAAGTAAAAAAAAAAAATGACACTAGCTGTGCACACACTGAATGACTCGGAGTATGGGATTTATAAAATCTGTTAGATATTCCTAATAAAAATGCAAAGACTAAGAAGTTAACTATCCTATGTATTGATGGGATTCCTGCTCTTAAAATACTTAATATCATGGAATCTAGTTCTTGGAATACCTGTTTAGCATTCTTTGGATGAATTGTAAAATGCTGGTTAAATAATATTTCTGAGGGTATAAGGTTAAGGATGAAAATTCCAATTTCTAATACTGTTCTTTTAGGATAAGTGACAATTAATATAGCCTCTGTCTTGCAAGGAGCTAGAGTGAGGTGTTAAAATAAAGTCTACCTTAATCCTGAGGAAACTTGTCAAAATCTTGCTCTTTCCCTGATATTCCCAATAGCTCTTAAATTGACAGGGGGTAGAGTCCTAAAAGAAAAAGAAAAAAAAGAATCACAGCAATAAATTAGGGGCATATGATATTCTCTAATAAAAGGAACCAGACTCCTTGGGAAAATGACTGATTATAGAGCTGAGGGAGAAAATATTCCAGATGAACTCGGAGGATCCTGTAATGCCAGAGAGTAGAGAAGTACTCAAAAAACAAACAGAAAATGAGGCATATCAAAGGGGAACAGGAGCCAACCTAACAGATCACCAGTGGACAAACCTGGAAAAATTTAGGCAACAAAATAAATAAGGTAGTATCGGATTATAATCCAAATTATAAAATTAATAACCAAGAATATACAATTGAACAAATAAAAAATAAATAAAGGAGAAGGGTATAATTCTAAACGATTTAAGTAGATACTCACCACCTGTCTCAGTTCTTCACCCCTGAGCGTGGGCTATGCTTAGTGACTTGCTTCTGAAGAGTAGAGTAGGGGAAGGAGAAATAATAAGTAACTTTACATGGATAAATGTGGGAAATGCTATCTGGGCCAGGTCATCCTGGTTAACAGCATCAGTGATGTAACATTGATAGCGTGTACCCCGGACGTGATGTGACAAGAATGACACTTCACCTCCATGCTCTTCTTCACAAATGCCCATATCCCCAGTCTAGCCATGAAAATAAACATCAGACAAACCCATATTTAGGGACATTCTGTATTTCTCTAATTTTCTTAAGCCTGCTTTTATATTTTCTATTTGCCTTTTAATCTGATTTCAGGAAGACTTTCTCAATTTCTCTTCCAATCCATTTACTGAATTTCTCTTTTCTTAAATTTCCAATAATTCTTTTCTTCTACATTTTTCTGAATGTTCCTTTTTAATAGAACATGTTTCATGGATGCAGTATCATCTTTTATTTCTCTGAAGATTTTGATGATAGCTTTTTAAAAAAGTTTTCAGCTCCCCCTGTAGTCTTTGTTTCCTCCAAGCAGCAACTTAACTTATTTTTTGCTTTTGGTTCATTGTGGACTGTATCTTTTATTTTGGAAGTTTCCCTCAGATATCTAAGAATTCTTAACTGCTTGATGATAATTAAGAGTAGATTACTTAAAAGCTCAGTGAAAGTTCTCTGGTTAGCTGGGAGGCTTGATGACTAAGGTCTCACTCTAGAGTGATCAGGCTGTTGATGAGAACTCCCAGCCCACAGCAGTATTTCTAGGTCATCTTTCCTGGTGGGGTCAGGTTTCTGAAGAAGAACCTTTTTCATTCCTCCCTGAGTGGTATAAAAGTAACTGTCTGCTGTCTAGAAGCCAAGTTGGGAGGCATGCTGGCAGTAGTTTCAACATTTAGCATGTATACGTTATTTAACTTCATCCTTTCAAAATAAGGTCAACACCATTAACTTGTTTCTAGCACCTCCCAGTCCAGGGACCCTCTTTCTCCTAGCTCTGTAAGAGAATCAGGTACTGGTTCTCTGCCAGGTAGAAGAAGGGATGGGATCCAGTTATAACCTTCTACCACTCCTTTCTCATACAGAGTTGACCCAACTCCTCAAAATCAACCTGGTTTTCCAAGGTCCTTCTGATCAAAATGGATCCCGTAATACTATCTAGCTGCATAAGGGATGAAGTTCTCTTATCTATTGATAGGAAGAGATTGACAAGATACGTTGTTAGGTGAAAAAAGCACATTGGAGAACAGTATGTCTAATATACTTCCTGTGTTAAAATAGAGAAAATAGGGATGTATTTTTATATTTGCTTATATATACATGAAGAAAATATTTAAGGTTACATATAAACCTCTGCACCATCCTTCTTGATCCCTGAACCAATCACTGTAGTCAGGATATAACATACTGTATTCTGATTGGCCAAGCCTAGGTCACAAGGGGATGGCTAGGTTGCCCTCACTCATCATACGACACAGAAAGGGGAAGAATATTCCCCCAAGCTAGGGGAGATGGGTAATGAACACATATCTACTACAGAACCAAATGTGCTTAAAACCAGAACAAACCTAAAGGCTCAGACCTTTATATCTAGACTTGCTGCAGAACCCAGGGAGCCACAATACTAAGGACATGGAAAATGACCATTAACTCTCCAAAAGCATGCTCTCCATTTCTGTGGGCTTTGAAGTTAAAACTGGAATAGGACATCTTTCCCTAAGACCCTACCTGACTGAAGTTACTATTGCAAACTGAGAAACACATTAAACCCCTTCCGCTCACAGACTGTTTATTCCCTCCTGGTCTAGTTTTTGAATCTAAACTTAAATGGTGAGACAAAGGAACACGTTTGCCAAAAGAGAGAGCAATACAGGAAGCTCCGGTTTCAGAAATGCTGAATTAATCTTCACAAAAACGGCCAACTTTTTAGAAAAGAAAAAACTCAGCTAAGCTCATTAGAAAGTCATCTAACCTTATGTTGAAGACAAAAGTGTGGATGTGCAGCTAGCGAATTACCTACCTCATGCGTCTTGCAGCTTTTTCGGAACCTTGGGAGGACCCAACTACTTGAAGAGAAAACACAGGTAGGCTCAAAAATAGCTACACTCCAGGCACTGGGAGAGGAAGCAGGGTGAGTTAAACCACTTGAGTCCCTGGAATATCATTTCCTCCATCTGCAAAATGGAGATAGGCCTGTTTTATAAAATTGTGGAGAGTTATATAGTGCCCTGTTGCTGCTATAACAAATTACCACAGATTTAGTGGCTTAAAATGACACAGCCTTCTCGTTTACCATTCTGGTGGTCAGAAGTCCTAAATGGGCTGACAGGACTGCATTCTTTCCAGAGTCTCTAGAGGGATAAACCATTTTCTTGCCTTTTTTACCCTCCAGAGGCTGCCCACATTCCTTGGCTCCTGGCCACATCACTCCAACTCCTGCTTTGGTGTCACATTTTCTTTTCTGACTCTGACCCGCTTTCTTCCCTCTTATAATGACCCTTGTGATTATATTGGTCCACCCAGATAATCCAGGTTAATTTTCCAATATCTTATCCTTACCTTAATTACACCTGCAAGGCCTCTTTTTTCCATAGAAGGTAAGAGCCTTTCAGGGGTTTCAGGGGTTAGGACATAGACATGTTTGGAGGCCATTATTCTGCCCTACTACAGGAGTATAAAATGAAATAATATCTGTGGAGATTTGTAGTGTTGTGCTTGCCACATAATAGCTACTTGACCAAATGCCAATTTTCAAATTTTAAGTTTTAACAATTTAGATATTTGACTATGCATTCAGTCCACTACTGAATTCTTTGATATTCAATAATCTAGTGGGGGGTGGAATACATAATTCTATGTTCTCATGGATGCCAACCTAATTTGTTTATATTTATGAGCTCTGTGTACTGACCTTAGAAGATACTTTCTGTTCAGAAGTAAAGGGCAATCCTTGAATGGAACCATTTTATTTATTTATTTATTTTTTAATTTTTTTTTCAACGTTTTTTATTTATTTTTGGGACAGAGAGAGACAGAGCATGAACAGGGGAGGGGCAGAGAGAGAGGGAGACATAGAATCGGAAACAGGCTCCAGGCTCCGAGCCATCAGCCCAGAGCCCGACGCGGGGCTCGAACTCCCGGACCGCGAGATCGTGACCTGGCTGAAGTCGGACGCTTAACCGACTGCGCCACCCAGGCGCCCCTGAATGGAACCACTTTAAACAGCAAAATAGTTAACATGCTAGTTCTCTTCAGTGACTCTAATGAAAGCCAAATGGAACACATAGGTTGTGGACAATATCCAGAGAATACTCAGTGTCCTAAAAAATGTTACATCTTGTAAAAATTAAAAGGTTATTTCATCAAAATATGTTGTAGGAGGCCAAGATTTGACAACACAGATGTTTGTGCCTCGGCAGATCTCCTCATTTGTATTTGGGGCAACAGGTTCCCAGGTCATCCCCTGGGATGCCCTTTGGGGAGGGTCCTGCTGGCCCTAAGCTGTACTCAGCACACCCCAGTGCCCTGAATCAGGGTGGTAGATGCTAAATACTTATGTTTTTTGCATGGCCCATTACACTCCAAGGACCTCAATGGCCAAATAAAACTCCTATCACTTTGAAGATATGCAGTAGCCTTGAGAGCCTCCCAAAAAGATTCATGAAACTATATTCATACATCTAAAGAAAGATAGAGACGATGGCTTTATTAATTTTAGCGAAACAAATAATCACCCATGATACCCAGAAGGGTCAATCTTTGCAGTAATGAAGTTTATATTTGGTATGATGGGCCATCCCTCATACGTGTTCTTCCTGGTTAATAATAGTCTTTGTTTGGTAGGCGCTCTCCTAGTAGGGAATGCTAATGTAATACTCACTGAGTTTTTCTACTGCCGGCTGGGAATTATCAATAGGTCATAAATAAACTACCACCACATAGGAAAGACAATAAGATTATATATACTCCTACTACCTCCAATTACAGTAAGAGCAACAATTATAAGGTTGCACTCCTACAGCCACCCTGGGGAGAAAATGAAAGGAAAATGTTCCATTAGCTTAATGAAGAGAGCACAGCAGAGCTACAGTCAAATTTTCTCACTATTAGCACCTATGGTGTGCCCCAGCACACAAGGGAAGCTCGATACACAGAGTAACAATTAAATTTCCTGACAATTAGCCCCTACCATGTACATTCCCTGAACCCAAAGGAGACATTTCAAAGCATCACATTTACATTCCCCACCTTTCGATGATGGAATCTGAGTGAGTCATTTGCTTGTGGAGATGGAGCTGGGACTAAAAGTTTATTTTATAGATGACTGCAAAGTGTCACTGGCAGACTTGCCGGAGAGGACATACAAACTGAATGGTGGGTTTGTAAAAGGGAGGGCTTTGAAAGATGAAAGCAGAGAAATGTTCATGCCAACCTAATTAGGAAAAGATGGACTGGATCCATGTTGGTAATTTCGGTGTTTAGAGTAACTTCACTGTTACCTGTGTTAGAAAGACCAATTGTGGGGGAGGTGCTGGAAATAGATGTGAGGTCTCTCATTCCAACTGCCAAAGAACCAGGTTTGCTTCCTGGAAGGCATTATAGAGGAGAGAGCTCCTGAGACTGGCTCCCCTGTGTCCAGATTCTGGTCTACCACTCCACCTCACCAAACTCCAATTTCCTTCCCCTACAAAGTGCAGGTAGCACATTTCCATGGGTTATTGGGAGGATTAAAAGACAAAAAGCCTAGGGATCAATCAACAGTAAGTGCTTAACAAATGTTAGTTATTATGATCTACATTCAGAACCAGCCTAGAACAGTATGCATTTGTATGGCCTAAGTAAATATTGGTGTGCAAAGAATACTCTCAAAATTTCCTTCTGGAGACCAAGATTTAAACTTTACTTGGGCAGTAGACAGGGAACAGTTCACTTTGTTTCGTCTCAATTTAAGAAGTAAAAGATGTTTTTTGCAATTTGGAGATGCAACTATCTGAACTGCTCTACAAATCATCCATAAATATATGGATAAATGTGGACAAATAATGGGTATCTCCCTCCCCCATTATCTAGAGCACAAGAGGCTTTTGCTTGGTCCAACTTCTCCACCCCACGAAGTGGAATACTGACCTTGAGCACACCAATCCACTACTGCGACTGCTTCTCGTTGCCACATGGAGTTGCCGTTGAAAAATGGGTGCTCCACTGTCCAACAGGCCTGACACATAGCGCTATGAAGTCTCTGGGCAGCACAAAGCAGTTCTTAGATGAAGGTCAAGTCCTCTTCCTTGGAGCTAGCTTTGACCAAATGTGCACTTCCAGCGTAAGCCTTCACCTGTCTTATACCCCATGGCCTCCAGGGCACGCGTTGGCCTCAGTACCTCTGGGTCAGAGTGGGTTCAACCCAGAAGCCTCTCTCACCCTTCCCTGGAGTTCACACCTCCAGGAATCAGATAACTTCTCAGTTTAAATCCTCAAAACACCCTCCGGAGGGTTTCCTGGATTGCAATTTCTCAACCTTTGACTTCCAATAATAATTACTGATAGAAAGCTGAAAAGAAAAGTGGCAAGTCAAATAGCAGACTTTATCTTATTGAGAAACAGTATTCCCTAGGATAGTGTTTCAAGCATTATTATCCCTTAGTATCTGTGGATTGTGCTGGTGTTTCAGAAGGTAGTTTGGAACTGCAGTTAGAATGTAGGTGTTTCGTGAAATTGCCCCAGTTGTTTTAATATCATTTAGTTTGTATCAAGATACTGAGTTTAAAAAGTGAAAGCACTTCTCAGTAACACCTTCACCTGTCCTTGTGATACCTGCCATTTTGTGACAAGCAAGGTCACTTCTTTCCCGAATGGTGTGGAAGCTGCTTTTTACAGCACTCGCTGCTCTCTTCCTGATTACCAGAAGGTTCACTCTTGCCCTCGGTTGCTGTGACAGTTGTACATCATGTAAAAATCATACCTTGCTTCCATCCCCCAGAACTCTTCATCCTTCTTCTTTCCCCTTTTTTTAACTGTAAAGAATTTATCACTACTGACATACCACGTATTTTACTTATTGTTGTGATTTTGTTAACATTTGTTAAGTAGAGCCCTAGGGTGTTGGAGGGTGGGCCACAGTTCAACAAAAAGCACAAGGGAAAGTAAAACAGAGAAGCTTATTACTCACAGATCCCGGAGGAAGTACATGGCACGCCTCAAGGGGCCCGGACGATGGTCAAGGCAAGGTGCCAGGGGAGAGAGTGTGGTAAGACATAGGGTGTTTCCTTAATAGAGTCTGCAGGTAGACCCTGGTGTTCCTGGCCAGATTGGCCGATTCAAACTAAAAAAAGCAGGGTTTTCATCTCATTTAAGGGGTACACAAGGAGAAGGCCGAGGGAGATGGGAGAGACTGCTTATCACAAAGGTCAGGAACTTAGATTTACTTGTGACTGTGGGCGTGTGTTCAAGGGAGGGGCAAGTGTGAGTTCCACACCCCAGCAGGCAGCTTGGCCACACAAAATAGATGCCAAGGCAGCAATCTTACGGTGTAGTTTAGCTATACTCTCAACACCTGTGTATGTCTCTATTTTCTGTTTCTCCTTAATGTAAGTTCCATGAAGACAGCGGGTTTCTTTTATTCATTGTTGAATCCCCAGTGCTCAATTTAGTGCCTGAACATAGTACATGCTCTATATGTTGTTGAATTAAAGAAGAATCTGTAGGTTCACAAAATCATGTGTGTGTGTTTGTGTGTGTGTGTGTGTGTGTGTGTGTGTGTGTGTGTGTGAAAGAGAGAGAGACCCAATCAAGGGACTTCCATAAGAGAAGAAATTTCTTTTTAATTTTATTTTTTTATTTTAGAGAAAGAGCACAAGTGGGGGAGAGGGACAGAGGGAGAGAGAGAGACAGAGAGAGACAGAGAGAGAGAGGGGGAGAGAGAGAGAGAGAGAGAAAGAGAGAGACAGAGGGGGGGGAGAGAGAGAGAGAGAGAGACAGAGAGAGAGAGAGAGAGAGAATATCTCAAGCAGCCTTCATGCTTAGTGTGGAGCCAGGCACGGGGCTTCATCCCATGACCTTGGCATCATGACCTGAGCTGAAATCAAGAGTCAGACACTCGACTGACTGAGCCACTCAGGTGCCCCAAGGAAAGATTTTCGTAATTCTACAATTTGCTTTCCTAACCATGAGCCCTGTGATCATTGTCACCACTATCACTTTTTCCTGTTATTAACAATTTGTCTCTTCTGTTTCCTCAAAATTATGTGCCTATAGACGACAAAATTTGGTTTATGTAAAATTTGTTTTATATGTACAATAGAAATAATAGAAAGTGATAGGAACCTTAGAGATTATGTAGTCAACGTGCCTTGTTCCTACATTTTTTGAATGAAAAAACTGACAATAAATGATATAGTCATGATTGCATAGCCACCAGCGCTGTCTGTTTTAGTTTTGGGATAGAAAAGTCTTGTGACTTTAGAAAAAGATTTGCAAACCTGTCCTCATCAGGATAGAAGCTCCCCTAAGCTCATGAGCCCTCATGCACCATTTGCAATCTTGAGGTGATGACATGGGCTAAGTCACTGTATCAGGCGGGCCATGGGAGTAAGATGAGCAGAGTGGTTGATGTGGTGTGATCTGATCTGAGAGGTGGTATGGAGGCCCTATAATGCAGGATACAGAACAGTCTCCACGTCAGAAGTTGCACCTTTGGTCTTTGTGCTAAGCTTTACTCACTCTGCAATCCTATTTGAAAAGTGAATCCTCTGAATGGTGGAACACACAAGGTTCCTGATACTTTAGTGGGGACACAAACTTTGAAGTGATCTTAGATTTCTGGGATTTCACAGGAGTACTGAGATTCTAGCATTGGGGAAAGAACAGAGTGGAAACTAGGTTGTGCTCAAAGATGAAACAAACATGCTGAGAGCTCAGAGAACTTAAGGAGTTCTGAGTTGCTTCTCCAGTTAAATGTTTTTTGTT